ATTGTTACGCGTCTAGTTTCTAACATTTTTACGCTTTTAGTTTCTAACATTTTTATTGTAACTTGGAGTGTTTTTATTGTTAGTTTCTAACATTTTTACCCCAACCCTACCTTCACCCATACCCATACCTATCGTGGCATGCCCACCTACACCTACTCTCACACCCACCCACCCTAACCCTACCTTAACATAAGGTTTAAGTTTATACGCATAAATTACAAATACAAATAACAATGAAAATTGTCTCCTAACCTTTATAAATAAAATAATGTTCGAAAGTAATAACTACAAACAATAATAAGGTCCTTGCATACTCAAAACTGGCACCCATCTATTGGGGACTGGAATTCAGTCTCTAATATGCTTTTAGCAAAATAGTATTTGTGACTGATTCATTAGTCTCTAATATATGGTATATATATGACTAAGTAACACATGTCTCAAAAACTAAAATTCAGTCCCTAATGATTTCTCTTCAAAGCCAAATGTGGTTAGTCTTTCCAAGACTGGATTTCAGTCTCTAATAAGTTTCCTTCCATATAGTATTTGTGACTGATTCATCAGTCTCTGATATATGGTATTTATGAAAAAATAATCAGTCTTAGATACGAAGATCTAGCCAGTTATAAGTGTTCATTCGAATGTCAAATAGTACAAACCTATTAGGAACTGAAATTCAGTCTTTAGAAACTTTCATGTTTGTAGTGCAAATAGGTGCAATTGTATTAATGACTAAACTTCAGTACCTAATAAGCTCCTTACACAGTCAAAACTAACACAAGTCTATCAATGACTGAAATTCAGTCCATCATCACTTGTCTCCAAAGTCAATGTTAGCGCTAAACTATTCAAGTCTAAATTTCAATCCTTAATATGTTTCCCACCAAACCTAAACCAGCGCAACCAAATTAGGTACTGAATTTTAGTCTTGAATAACTTTGGCCGGTCTCTAATGATTCACACATAAAAGCATTCCTAGATAGTATCTAACACTAATTCATCAGTCCTAGATACATTGTATCCAAGACTGATTAATCACTCTTTTATATTTTAGTCACAAAACCCCATTTTTCTTGTAATGTCGTGTGGTATTTTGTGATTGTATGTTATGTGGTTTTTGGGGAACTCACTAAGCTTTGTGCTTACGGTTTTCATTTTTATGTTTCAGGTACTTCTGTTTTCAAAGGGAAGAGCTCGGGATGATTGCAGAACACACATCACATGTTTCCATATTTTGTGATTTACTCTGATATTGATAATGTATCGATACATTTTGATAACATTGGTTTTATGACAATGATATGGTTTGATGTTTTATTAATCTGAAAACGAAAAATTTTATGGACTTATTTTTGGGACGTTACATTACTGATGGTAGATTGAGGGGATGGTAAATCAAGGGAAAATCTTCTTTTTCTTTGAAGATGACGAAATTACCACTGCTTTGTTTTGTGTAATATGCAAGTGACAAACTTAATAGAAGGGTACAAAGGTCAACCACACAATCAGTTCAGGTCTAATTTTTTTAAGCATAAGTGTAAATAGTAAGTAGAATGCAATAATAAACAAATAAATGAAAGTACGTTGCTATTTCTTGCATCTCAAATGCTCAAAGTTAACATTGGTGTTGAATGACCACTTATTATATGTTCATGAAGTTGAATAGTTTGAATAATGTTTTTTTTGAAAGTTGGATGGTTTCAGGAATATGGAGAACAGATTAGAAAAGAAGTGAAATTTTCATTAATTGCAATTTTCCGAAAGTTTAACTTAAAAATTTTATACTTCAAATAATCGTTGTATATAAATATTAATATAATTACTTGATGAACAGTAATTAAAGGGTTTAAAATGTTGTAATATCGTTACAGGTAACTGAGTTTTACATTCCTCTTATCTTTTAAAATCCTACGCCAAAAATAAATGGATATGAATTGGATTCAAATCAAGATGTAGTTTACAAGCTTTCTTCAACTTACAAGTGTTGAATGAAGTGGATATGAAAATCTTTTGCAAGTAGTTATATATTGGGAATCTCTCTCTCTGTGTGTGTGTGTGTATATATATATATATATATATATATATATATATATATATATATATATATATATATATATATAGAGAGAGAGAGAGAGAGAGAGAGAAGAGGGTTCAATTGAGAAAAAAGGTTGAGAATGAGGGAATCATTCTCAGCCAATCATTTAATCTAAGCATAAAAAGACACGGTGGCAAACTTGTAAATATGATAATAACCTTCAATCTCAAACACGTAACTGTCGAAAATTAGATAACAGTTCAAACTCATTCCTAATCGCTCGTTCATCATCCAAATTTCTTCTCCAACCTTCAACTATCATCCAGATTTCTTCAATTAAACCATCATCAACGTCATCCAGTGTTAATCAATCATCAATCTTCGTCAATAACACGTTTATCAACACCATTCAACAGTTGACAACAAAAATTAATTTTTGGTTGTTTTAATCCAACCTTCAATTCTGCTTAAATACGATCAGATCTTCAACATCTACGATTAATTATACTCTCAACGTCATTAGATCAACATCATCGATAATCAACAAAAAATCCACTTCATATCATTCATTCAACATCGATCATCAAAAAAAAAACTTCAAAATTAAGGTTAGAAAAAGATCAAATCGTTTTTTTTTTGAAAAATTTCATATAATCTCTATCAATCTACTATTTTGTAAGATTTAAATAGTCAAAGTATCATGTTTTTAACATTTTAAAAAAAGTTAACTTGTATGCACTCCAACTGTTTGATGAAATGCATAAACTAAATTACCATGTTATATTCACATATGAATATGTTTTCTCACCTGAATCAGTATATGATTATTAAAACACAAAACAAATATGCAAGTCTGTATGTTATTCATATGTGAATAACATATAAAAATTATATATATTTGTGAAAACACCTTGTAATATTCATATGTGAATATACTGTGTAATATTCATAAGTGAATATATCATCTAATATTCACAAGTGAATATACTATGTAATATGCACATGCGATATACCATGTAATACTATGTAATATTTACATATGAAAATATCATATAATATTCATAAGTGAATATACCATCTAATATTCACAAGTGAATATATTATATAATATTCACAAGTGAATACATCGTCTAATATTTAAATATGAATATACTATATTTATTATATGCTATATTCATATATGAATGATACTTAAATTGTAAAAAAAAAAATTAATCATACTTTTTATTCATAAGTGAATAACGAATGTACTATAGTAAAACCTGATGCATTTTTATTCACTTATTAATAACGATAGCTGAAAATATAAAAAAAATAAAATTTTATTTTATCTTAAAACTATATCAATATGGATGTCTATTTATTTGTAGAGAATAAAAAATCATGAATTTTGGTATATTTAAAATCATTTTTCGATAAACATAGCTTCTTAAAAATTAAAAAAACGAAAAAACTATTTTTTTTGCATATATTAAGGTAATGATTAACATAGTTTAAGGAAACATGTTTTGTTGGAAAACACATGTCTATTCCCTTCTCATTTTCGCTGGTACGACGGAGGCTTTTGCGGCAAAAATAAATGAGTGGCTGAATTGAACTTACCTCTCTCTCTCTCTCGAACATGCCATAATGGGCCCCGCCCTGGGTATATTTCAACCCAGCATACCATAGTGGGCCCCTCTCTGGGGTATATTTCAACTCGATCATACAAAAAAGTAGACATCACATAACAACTAGCATTCTATATAACCGAATAATGGGTCGACATTGGTGCATTCGACCCATAGATACAGTGAGAAAACTCACCTCAAAGACAAATGAGAAAGCGGAAATAGCACACCCAGTCACCTTTACAAATATAGTGACCAAAACTCAGAGAATAGATCAAAATACCCAAAGTACCCCTAGGTCTTGGTCAAAAATGAATGATTAACTTTTTTATTTTTTCAATTTAACTTACCTCTCTCTCTGTATGAGTGTATATATATATATATATATATATATATATATATATATATATATATATATATATATATATATATATATATATATATATATATATATATATTATCCGACCTCTAGATCTCTAGATCTTCCAAATCAGTTACTAACCAAAATCATGTAAAAAAACATTAGCCCCGGTGCTTCGCACTGATATATATATATATATATATATATATATATATATTATATATATAGATATATATATATATAATCTATATATATATATATATATAATATATATATATATATATATTATCCGACCTCTAAATCTTCCAAATTAGTTACTAACCAAAACTATGTAGAAAAAAAACATCATCCCCGATTGTTCGCACCGATATGTTTACTAGTTAAAATTATTTCACAATTGCAACTAAATGTCACATTTTGTATATAGCTAATTGCTAATAACACACAAAAATGTATTTTATAAAAATACTAAAACCGTTACTAAATATTTGTCCCTAAATTCGAAGACCTCTTGAAATCAGAAGTTCCGTGCGAACACACCACTAACAAACCGGCAAGGCCACCAATATACATGATGCATTTTTGTTGTTGAGAAAGTAGATTTTTGTGTGTTTTAGTTGCAGGTGTGGCAATGTATATATATATTTTTTAAATTAATTAGAAATATATAAAAAAAAGTAGAAAGGATAGAAAAGTCATTTAACCATATAAAAAGAAATTAAAAGTGAGAAAATTCATTTTAAAGAACCCAAACAAAAAAAAGTCCAAATTTAAAGACTATATGGCAGAAAAAAAGTTGAATTAGGCATGAAATTATTAAAAATACGTGTTGTAAGAATAATAATAACAAAAATACTTAAAATATGGCACCTGAAGCTTGCAACATGCAATAAAGATTTAAAATAACAACTAAACGTTTCTTCGAAAAAAGATCAATCATACATATATCTTAATTCAAAAAAGTAAATAAAAATATAAAAGTTATAATATTTGCCTTCAATTAAATTAGAAACGGTATAAATTATAGCGAATCAAATACAGTTGCCATACTTTTGCTCTCGTAATAGAACCTAAACTTCAAGGGGCTTCACCATCATCAATCATCACTTACACTGGAAAGATGGGGTTGCTCTCGAACAGGTAAATGGTTTTTTCGATAACTTTCAGTTTTTGCTTCACATGATTATTTGTGTGAATTACTTGTTGAAGAAACTTGATTTTCGCAATGCAGATTGGATAAAAAGAATCTGAAGCCAGGAGATCATATATATTCATGGCGTCATGCATATATTTATGCGCATCACGGTTTTACTCTCTTTTTTACTGCTTGTTTTTCTTTCTTCATCAGTCTCTCTTTTAAAATCGTGTTTATTAGATAGACACCAGACTTGATATGCGTATTTTCGTCTAGTTACAAACCCTACTTTCCAATAGCTTTTTCTTCCTTCCGTATTTGATTCTGTTTTACACATACATGTTTTGTTTATGTGATGTTGATTTGATTATTTACATGGTTTAACGAATCGTATTTTTTTACAGGTGTCTATCTGGGCGATGACAAAGTCGTTCATTTCACGAGGCTAGGTCAAGAAGTAGGAACAGGTACAGGTCTTGATGTCCTCATTATTAGTTCAATGCCACCACCACGTCTAGTCACATGTCCCACCTGTAATCATACCGATATTAGCAATGGAATTATCACCTCTTGTCTGAACTGCTTCCTCAATGGTGGACTCCTCTACCGTTTTGAATACTCAGTCAACCCTGTCGTGTTTCTTGCAAATCCTCGTGGTGGCACCTGCACTCTCGCCGCCTCAGACCCACCGGAAACTGTCATCCACCGAGCAAATTACCTTGTTAAGAATGGGTTTGGTTGCTATAATATTTTAAAGAACAATTGTATACACTTTGCGATATACTGCAAAACGGGGCGTCTTGTTTCCGACAAAAAGACTATGAGTCCAAGTAGACTGATGGCTTCGATCATTGGCCAACCACTGGAGGCTGTCTTTTCTTCAAGTCTTGAGCTTATGAAGGCATCGGGTGTGGCTCCATATTGTGTTAATCGATATGTTGCTGATATTGGTAAGAAGAGCGATGTCATTAGCTAGTATTGGTGGTGGTTCTTTTGTTGTGTCTTGTTTTTCCTGTTTTCATAAAGACCTGCTCCATGCTAAATATAGTTAGCATAATGAATAAAAGCAATTGCTTGATGTGATTCGTATACAAAACAAATGTAAAAAGAGATTTTATTGAGAAATTTATAGTTTGAATTTGAGTTTGTATACAAATGAGGTAATACGTAACCAATGAAGTCGGACTTGATAAAGACTTCACTTGGATTTCTACAATTTGTTAGTTCTACTAGCTCCTAGATTCTTGACCGATAGAGTTATACATAGCAAATCGTATTGACTTTCACTACAAGAAATATTAGCAATAACGGCGATGTTGTTAGCGGCGACAAACACTATTAGCGAGAACACCAAAGATACCAGTAATTATTGGGCTGAAATCTCTTATGCAACATTTGATACCGATCGGAGTTAGAGGGTTTTTGACCAAAGATACTTATACATCAATTGTAGACCTTTGTATGTTTTTCAAACAACTTTGGTCGAGAGCACTAACATTGGAGGATATGAGGAAAGCAAAAGAAGACATTAATATTAAAATCTTGTGCAAGTTAGAACTCATTTACCCTCCAACGTTTTTTTTTTTTTTTTTTTTTTTTTTTTGACATTATTGTTCATTTAGTTTTGCATCTAACTGATGAAGCGTTTGCTGGAAGCCCGATATGTATGATATAAATGTATCTGTTAGAAAGGTACATGAAAAAACTAAATACTATGTCAAAAATAAGACAGGTTGGAAGGTTCTATAGATGAAGGTTATATTAATGCAAAAGCTTTATCAATTTGTTTGATCGTACCTTCAAGATGTGCAAACTCAATTCAATCGTCCTGAAATAAAGGCGGATGTCGTCGTTGAAAAAACAAAGTTTTGGGTGTTTGATTTACAGTGTTGACCAACCAATGCATCACAAATCAGACATCTTGATCTAAGGGAAAAACGTAATATAAATAGTTTGTACTTAATAGTTGTAAATATGTCAGATATTATATCAAGTAATGTTAGAAATTTGGGTTTAATGACACTTGGAAATCTGAGAATCGTGATTATCACTTTCAAATCGAAGTATTTGGGTGATACTCCTTAATCATCAATTGGATAAAACACAGAGAAAATCAGAGAAGAAGAAAGAGAATGAGAGGGTATGTTTTTCGTAAGTACCAGATTATGACCAAAAAACTGGTTTTTGATCTATGCCTAAAAACTGTCACAAGACAGTTTCAAAATGTCACAAACCACCAAGACTGTTAAATCTATTTTTGATCCAGCTCGACTCCCAGCCAGGGGCTCTGCCCTTTGGACCCCGCCAGGGGCTGCCGCCCCTTGGACCCCGCTCCCTGGGGCGCTGCCCCCAGACCCCTGTTCGTTCAGGGGCTTCTCCCTTAAATAAACAGTGTACTTTGAATCTTGAATAAACTTAAACAAATGTGCACTCCGCACCTCCTTGTTTAATATTCATCAAAATTGATTTTAATAATTGGGGTTTAATCTCTTTTGGTCATAAGGTAAGAGCCTAACAACGGAGTACTCCGATGTAATTTTGTGATAAATATTGGTTTTTGTTCGACTTAAGAATTATGATTCGTTAATTAGATGGGGTTTTATAAGATTAACACATGAATTTTTAAATTTAAACTTTTGTGGTTCAAATAATATTGAATTTATTAGTTTCATATTAAATTGCATTTGTTTTCTTTTTTCTTTTTTCATTTCATGTGAATTAGTTCTTTATGATCTCAAACTATCAGTTTTACTTTGATTTGTAATGTGATTTTAAGGAATTTGAGAATTAGTCGAATTTGGTTACTTTATGTTGCTCTGTCATATTTTGTTCTTAAGTTTTGAAGGTTGAAATCCTATTTGCAATGACTAATTTCATATTTTTACAATAAATCTATATTAACAATACATGTTAATGGCGTTAAGAGACCCTGATAGGAGACAAAACTTTAATGAAATTGTTGAAAACAACAAATTACCATATTACCCTCTATCGTTCTATCTCTCACCCTTATTATAAAATATTGTTATATTGCCATTTTTACCCTCTTTTGTTCTATATTTTATCCTGTCCCTATAATATGTAATACAATGGTTTGTCTACTTTCTTACCTTTAAAGGCTCATTTAGTAACAGGGTGCATAAGATGAAAACCGGTTATCTTCAGGTTTGAGGGTCAAAAATCAAGGTGATGGACACACTTTGTAACGCCTACAGATTCGGGCTAGTCAATTTAGAGACGATAAACGTCAAAAATGACTTTTTGATAGAGGATTATTTAGAATAGACAAAATTACAAAAATGGTCCCTTTGGTTTGCCAAAAGTCACAAAGTCAGTCCCTGCTAATTTTTTTTATGCAAATGGTCCTTGTGGTTTGCAAAAGTTGCAAAGTTGGCCATTTTTACTAACACCATTAGTAAAACGCCGTTAGAGACTGAATCTGTGAGGGTATTTTCGTCTTTTCAAGTATAAAGAGATTGAATTCGTGAGATTTGATAAACTAGAGGGACCATTTTTGAAATTTCTTTGAAAAAGACAATTAAATTGCTAGGGGGAGGAATCAAACTCATGACCTCCACCCTTCTATTTTGCCCAACAACTTAACCACTTGATCTAAAGGCTCATTTGGTTTTTACTTTCTAAAACCCATTTATATAATAATAAATCGATAAAACATAAACAATAAATAAATTAAAAAAAAAACGTTTTTTAGATAATTTTTTTAATAAAACAAAATGTATTTTAGCGTATTATAAAAAAATACGTTTAGAAAATTATTTATTTTTATGTATTTATTTTACATAAAATGTTTTTTCTAATAAAACATAAACAATAAATAAATTACAAAAAACATTTTTTTACATAATTTTTTTTAAATAAAATAAAACGTGTTTTCCGTGTTATAAAAAAAATAAGTAAATTACAAAAAACGTTTTAAATAAAACAAAACGTATATTTTTTTTTCTAAAACTCATATATACAATAATAAAATCGATAAAACATAAACAATAAATAAAACATATTTTTATGTATTTATTTTCCGTAAAATATGTTGTTTTATGTATTTCTAAAAATCGTTTTTCGGTTATATGTATTTAAAAACACTTATAAAACCTATTCGGTTATGTCTTATTTCTTATTTAAAATACGTATTTCAACTTAACCGCTAGTTCCAAATCGTATGGTTAAAATGACGATTAAAAGAAATAAAAGATATATTTTTTTTAAAATAACAATAATTAACACTACTTGTGACATAAAAAAATATTAATTGTTTAAATACATATAACAAAAAAACCAATTCGGCTGATTTTGCCTTTCATTACAACGTAATAACATTTTATACGAAGACGTATTTTTTAAAGACATAAAAAAAACATTTTATGTAAAATAAATACATAAAAATAAATACTTTTTCTAAATGTATTTATTTATAATACGCTAAAATACATTTTGTTTTATTAAAAAAAATTATGTAAAAAAATGTTATTTAATTTATTTAATGTGTATGTTTTATCGATTTATTATTTTATAAACGAGTTTTAGAAGGTAAAAACCAAGTGAGTCTTTAGATCAAGTGGTTAAGTCACTGGACAAAATAGAAGGGTGGAGGTCACGATCCCTCCCCCTAGCAATTTAATTGTCTTTTTAAAAGAAATTTCAAAAATGGTCCCTGTGGTTTATCAAATGTCACGAATTTAGTCCCTTTATACCTAAAAAGACGAAAATATCCTTACAGATTCAGTCCCTAACGGCGTTTTACTAACGGTGTTAGTAAAAAGGGCCAACTTTGCAAGTTTTGCAAACTACAAGGACCATTTGCATAAAAAAAATTAGTAGGGACTGACTTTGTGACTTTTGGCAAACCACAGAGACCATTTTTGCACACACGCACCTAAAAATCAATTCGTCTGCTCCGGCGAGACGAAGGCGTCATTGTAACCCAGATCGGCAAAGACGAAGTCGTTGGAGCCGGAGTCGCCAAATCGTTGTCGTACACCATCACTGTTTGTCACCACCATCCTTCGCCGCCAAGAAACCTTAACTCTCGGAAATGAAAACCCTAGCGCCGTATGATGCCAAATCGAGTTACTCCGGCGAAGTCGGTACCAAATAATTCTAGGGTTCCAGCGTTCGACTAGTTACGTCAACGTGTTCGTTGAGTTACAACGTTGTCGTCGTTCAGATCTACGTTGTCGGACACCTAAATAAATCTTCGTTTTCAGCCAGATCTTACAATTCCATCGACGGCCTGGTGGTTATTATCGGAGCAAGGGTTTCAGAGCCTAGACCCAGATCTTTCGAGGTCTATTTATCTCCGTCAAGGAGGGTTCCGGTGAGGAAGCCAGATCAGATCTTTGGCCAAATCATGACAACATTCTAGTGATGAGGCGACGTTCCAAGATGAAGGGTAGCGGTCAGATATTTCTTCCATGCGAGGTTTTTTTTGGGGGATAAAGAACATATAAGAGAGAGCGAGAGAGAGAGAGAGAGAGAGAGAGAGGTATTTTATTATTATTAATAATAATTATTGTAATAAAAGAAAAATAAAAAATAAAATAATAAGGACAAATCCGTCATTATAAAAAAGTTTAAAACACTTTGGAACAAACTTGCAACAAATAAAAACTATTGTACCACTGGCGCGAGTCCAAACCTTTTTGGACCAAACTTGCGAGTTTTGACATAACACAAGGACCATTCTTGCAATTTTGTCTAAATATTATTGCGACCCTTGTTGACTTTGGAGACGCAAATGTAATTAAGATGTAAGGATAAATTATTTTTCCTAACATGTGTAATCGTTTATCATTACTATTGCTTACATACACTTGACAAATAAAGAAATTAAGACGTCACCGAAAAATGATCTATACTAACATGTTGTTTCTTTTATTATTATTATTGATCACTTTTAATGACATGTTTTAATATTATATCGTGAATACTATGAACGTTTACTCACTCACAAAAATTTAACGGTGAGCAAAAAATACATATAGTGATGTGTTTTTTTTCATACAGAGTGATAAATGTTTGCTTACAGTGACCGTTTATAAATATTATCGCGGCAATTGTTGACTTTTTGGAGACAAAAATATAATTAAG